TCAAGATATTGTCTATGCATGTTTTTGTATTTACTGATATTCTTGTTGGTTCATGTATTGTAGGTTTCAAGTTATATTTTAATAATGTATTCAGGAACATTTCACTTTTACTATTATTCTCAAGAGTATTAATATTGAAATCACCAGCTATAACAATTTTTTTCTTTGAGTACCGTGATCGTATCGTTAATCTTTGCAATAATAACTCCAATGCCCCAATAAATATATCAAAGTTCGAGTTTGGTACTCTATAGACACATATGACCACATAGTTCAATTCAGGTAACAAAATACCACAACACTCAAAGTTAAGTTCCATTGTTATGTTATTTATGCATTCAAGCTGCTTTGTATTTATTCCGTTTTTTGCATAAATGCATACACCTCCTCTAGATTTACGACGACAAAAGGAAGCCACCATTTTATAATCCGGAATTTGCAATGTAATTGTGTTTTGTGCTTTAAGAAAAGTTTCACTAAAACACAATATATCCATTTCATTTGAAGTTACTAATAATTCTATTTGACTGAGTTTAGATCTAATACCTTGTATATTTTGATGTAGTATCTTTAACGAATAATTATTACTGTTGTTCACGAAAACAAGGCTGTTCCAGATTATTAATATTTGAATCAATTTTGGACTTGGGATTTCTTTTGAAATAATATGGTATAGTACCTTTTTTTAATACCTTCGTTTCAAACTGTTCGGAAGTTGCCTTAAGGTAACTCTTTTGTTTAGCTAATTTTGTAATCTCATTAAGTCTAATTTTATTAAAATAGTATGGAATAGTTCCCTGAACGTAGCAATTTTTATTTTTATTACTTATCCTCCTTTTGGCAATGTGTAAATAATGAGTATCATAATCCTTCTTATCTATAATTATATTTATTTTATTAGTTATCATGTTCTTAAGGGCTGAACTATGCAAATTTATCTCATTTACCTGACTTTCTACATAAATACAATTTTTGAAACAAGTTACTAAAGATTTTATTTTAGAGTTTAGTTTACTAACATTTATATAAAGATTATGTAAGACACTGGTAACTGTAATCTTAGGTTTATTTACAAGTTTTAATACTGCACATATTTCAGCAAAAATATTTATGGGGTTTGAATCATTAGCACCTATACATAATATAATCCAATCATCTTCGTTAAAGGTTATATTTGATAACTTTGATTTTTCTAAAATATAACTAACAGGCGCATTTGGGAAAATTTTACCTATTATATTATATTTTATGGGATTTTTATAGGACATTCTTTTATAAATTAGGGATGAAGCAAGACCTGAGCCTTGCTGGTCACCAATAATAATTATTTTATTCTTTTCGCTAACCGTATTAAAATCCAAATTTTTATTAATGTGGAAATTTGATTCTGTCCCATTTAAAGATGGATGAACAGTTGTTTGTTTCTTGCATGCACTCGGCCTAGTAACTTGCAATATCATTTTTGATTTGATGTCAACTGTTTCCTTTTCCTCTAGGATTTTTTTTCCTGATTGAAACTGATTCTTGTGTATGATGCGCGGTGACGATTGCTCAATAAAATTTAATTTTGTAGCAGTTAAACTGTTTTTATTTTTCGTTTTTAATGCTTTTTTTGTTGAAGTAGATTTACAAATATCTGTTAACTGATTTACTCTTTTCTCATGATTGATAATTTTTTTCTTCAAATTGTTATTTTCTTCTAACAAATTATCAATTTCATTTTCAGCTATTATCAGTTTTTCTTGAAGAGCAATTATAACGCTTTCCATTTCCTTAAATTTTTCATCTGAACTAATACCAAACTTAGGACAACTTCTATTAAAATTGCTGATCGATTCGTATGATGCGTCTATGTCCTCTTCTAAATCAGAAATATCCACCTTCAGAGACTCAAATGAATTTAAAATCATGAAACTAAATTTCTAATGTGAGTAGTATGTTAATTTATTTTAACATTTATTATATAAATAGGTATGTATTATATATATTTATAGTGTATGTATTTATGTAATATTTTATTATATATTTTAATATTTTATTTAACTGTATATTTGTTTATGTATTCTAAATATTAATAGTTGTAGCACTTCAGCTGCCCGCTAACAACATACTTTCTAACATTGGGTTGACTGGAAGAGATCTCTATCAGAGATAAGTCCACCTTTGCTCACAACATTTATAAAAGCATTATATTACACGTAATTTACAAATGCAATAAAGAATATATATAAACTTTTTTTTGAATGATTTGTAAGATCACTGAACCATAGACTTAGTATAACGTATTAATACGTAAGTTATACTAAATCTATGGTTTTGTTACACATACAAATTGGTAAATTATTACAAAAGAAAAAGATAAAATATTACAATAAATAAAATAAGTTTATAAGGTATTTGACGTTTTTATAAATAAGAGGTTAAAAATAGTGGGTATTTGCGATTTCTACGCCAAATTAGTAATGAAATCGTCTTAGAAAGGTATTCTTAATCTATGCAAATCATAGACAATCAAACCACTAGTTTACGAGTTATTAAAATTTTATAACGAACTTCTCAGTAAAATCAAAACATCAACGGAACGAATCCATTAGTGGATGATAAATAAAGTGTATTAAAGCACACAACAGAAGGTCAAGAACATTTTAATAACTGATTAAATGAAATAAACTAGAGAAAACAAGTGAATGATAAATTGTACAAGAATTTCTAGATAAGATATTAGTGTCGTACGTTATACATAAACGAATATAAAATACGAATACCGAATCTATGTGTTTCAATTGTTTGTTTTTTTTTTTATTTTACTTTAAGAGGGAAACATACAATATCTAAGACATATAAAATAATATACACAGCCATAAGATAAATCAGTGAAGTTTCCACAATAAACCAAACCAAATAATCGAGAGCAGATGATTAAGATAAAATTTGTTGTTTTAATTGATAATTATACTTAATAAATGGAATGTTTTCAATCATTCTTGTTTATTTGTTTACGTTTAAACGTCTAAACGAAATTGAATGAAATTTAATACAAAGATAGGTTATATTTTAAGTTAATAAACAGTACAGTGTAACCTACATTGCATAGTGATCCATGCGGATAGAGCCAAGGAATAGATAGTAGTAATAGGTAAAAAATGGTCCACGGTACTGCTTATGTCGATAGGCGAAGGTTACCACTTTCCATCAGGTGGGCCGTCAGCTTGTTTGCCATTCTAAGTTGTATAAAAAATAGAATTATTAATTTATACTATATAAATTAATAATTCTATTAAATTTATAATATATACTTATAATAAATCTGTAGAGAGGTAAATTCTGTACATGAAATATATTTACAAAATAACTGTCAGTAGTGATCGATACTGATGCCAAAAATGCAATCAGTAAAATTTTTGTCCGTCTCTCTGTATGTTCGTTATAGAAACAAAAACTACTCGACGGATTTTAACGAAACTTGGTACAATTATTCTTCATATTCTTGGGCAGATGATAGTACTTTTCATCACGCTACGATCAATAGGAGCAGAGCAGTGAAGGGAAATGTTAAAAATGTCCACCCGTGCGACGTCGGGACGGGCCGCTAGTATTCAAATAAGATTGCATTACACAAAAAACCTACTGCAGTAATGGCAACACCAGTTAGGTATTGTCATATATGATTTAAAAACTAAACCACTGAACCGATTTCGATAGAATTTCTACAAGACAAATGTGTAAGTATAATCCTTTAAGATAAGAAAAAAAAATACCAAATTGGTTTAAAATTGATGCAGTTATGAACTGAGAATCTACATCGGTTTGAAGTCGATTGAAATCGATCGAATTAATAAATTATTCTACTAAACAAAATATTTAGTGCTGGCAACATAACATTTTAAAAAAATACCTGATAGTTTTTTTTTTAAACATTACTCACATCTACCTACTTGTTTCTATTTTCACACCATCCATTTATCACTGGACGTATTCATTATTTGCTTTGTAATACCATATTTAAATTGATTACAAGGAAAAAGACAAGCATAAATCGAGTAAATCTTTAAATATAAATCCTTGAACCGCAAAAGTAATCAGGTATTTATTTTCTGCTTTGATATGCCTATATTATATGTATGATATTAACCAGAGGGAGACTTTGTACAAAATTCGATTGCTTGGGTACCTCTGTCCCATTCGTGTTTCAACCGTGAAGCAGTTGTGTTTGCATAGCTGTGTTTCGGTTTGAAGGGTGGGATATGCCAGTGAATTTACATTTGTTGATGTAATTTTGGGTTGATATTTGATGTTAATAAATGACTGAATACATTTAAACGAAACTAAGGTAATCTAATCCGCGTAAATAAAACCTTGAGTTACCCCCCAATAATCCAATAAAAAACTCACAGTAAAGCAGGTACTGTGTTTAAAATTTTTATAAAACTACTTTATATATATATATATATATATATATATATATATATATATACAACTTAGAATGGCAAACAAGCTGACGGCCCACCTGATGTAAAGTGGTAACCGTCGCCTATAGACATGAGCAGTATCATAGACATAACAGAGTACATGTTTCGCCCATGATACTCCCCATGCGTTGCCATTCCTGAGGACTCAGGTATTATTGCTCTGTACCCAGTAAATTCACGCCATATCCCACCATTCAAACCGAAACACAGCCATGCAAACACAATTGCTTTACGGTTGAAACACGAATAGGACAGAGGTACCCAAGCAATCGACTTTTGTACATAGTCTCCCTCTGGTAAAATATTTATACATTTATTTATTTATAATTTATATATTTCTTAAATATTTTTATTTTCATTCTCATCTATCATCCCTCACTGGAGCCCCGCATATACCTACAGCGTAGGCAGGGTTACCATTACATTATCATGCATTAAAAAAAAAACAACGAAAAAAGAAGACTCTTTTTTTCTTTCTTCCCAGAAAGAAGTTCTTTATTTATAATTTAATCATTTACTTCTACTTTTCAGATGGCTTCCGCAGTGGACGTCCCGAAATTGGTACTGAACAATGATCGGGAGATTCCCGCCATCGCTTTGGGCACCTTTTTGGGATTTGGCAAAGTAAGTTTTTATCGTTAACGAATGATGCTGTAGTAACAACCCTTCCTGCGCTAACGGTATACGCTGGCGGGACATCAGTGAGAGATGATAGGTGAGAATAAAAAGGCAGGTCAGTTAGTCCATCGTGATGTATACACATGGAATTCAGCACGTCGCCTATAGACATGAGCAGTACCATGGACATAACAGAGTATACTGTTTCGCCCATGATACCTCCCATGCGTTGCCATTCCTGAGGACTCGGGTGTTACTCCTCTGTACCCAATAAATTCACTGGCATATCCCACCCTTCAAACCGAAACACAGCCATGCAAACACAACTGCTTCACGGTAGAAACACGAATGGGACAGAGGTACCCAAGCAATCGACTTTTGTATAAAGTCTCCCTTAGCTCGCTAAGTAATTTGAAAAAGAAGATACCCCACTAGATGGAGTGACGACCTCCAGTGTATTGCAGGGGGTCAGTGGATGCAGGTGGCTCAGGACGGTTCCTTATAAGGAACAGAACTGTCTTTGGGGGAGGCCTATGTCCAGCAGTGGACAGTTGAAGGCTGTTATGATGATGATGATGAGGTCGATGATCTCCCATGTACAGACGTGATCCTGTTACAACTTTATCATATTAATAAGACATTTTTAAACAGCCTTATTTTATTTTCCAGGAAGGCGTAGTGAAATCAGTAGATAAAGAACTGCGCGATGTTGTTATGAAGGCTATAGATCTGGGATACCGTCATTTCGACACTGCTTCCGTATATGGCACAGAAAAAGAGATAGGCGAAGCCGTACAGATGAAGATTTCTGACGGAGCCATCACCAGGGATGACGTGTTTATCACCACTAAGGTACAAAGTAATTGTTTCAAATGACGATAATGGAATGGTGACCTCGCCTGCGCTATCAGTACACGCTGGCGGAGCACCAGTGAGGTGTGGGTGATAGGTGACGATGAAAGCAGAGTAGTTACTTTTTTTTTATACAACTTAGAATGGCAAACAAGCTGACGACCCACCTGATGGAAAGTGGTAACCGTCGCCTATAGACATGAGCAGTATCATGGACATAACAGAGTATACTGTTTCGCCCATGATACCCCCCATGCGTTGCCATTCCTGAGGACTCAGGTGTTATTCCTCTGTACCCAGTAAATTCACGCCATATCCCACCCTTCAAACCGAAACACAGCCATGCAAACACAACTGCTTCACGGTAGAAACACGAATGGGACAGAGGTGTCCAAGCAATCGACTTTTGTACAAAGTCTCCCTCTGGTACTTGAAAGTGTCAAATATATATGATATTGTATGATATATGTTTATCGTTTTCCTATTTACTATAATGTATATACATATCAGCATTTTACACAAAAAAAAAAATTAACAACATATTATTTACGTCGACCCCTGGAGAACCGACTTCGATCCCAAAGGATCGATATCGACTATATTTACGTCGACCCCTGGGAAACTGACTTCAACCCCAAAACGTCGATATCGACTACTCTGTCAATCCCTAATTTATACTGTTGCAATAGAATCAGGAATTTATTTGAATACGCTAACCTCTGGAACAATTAGTCCGACTTGAAACATTATTTCTGCGTTTGATAGTTCATTTCTCTATAGGATTTTCAAAATCACGATACGATCATGAGCGCAGCCGCAGGACACAGCTAGTACATTATAATAATCTGTTTGGGTTTCACAAATGTTTTGTATCTTCTGTATACAGCTATGGAACACCCACCACAAGAGGGAGCAAGTGATGCAAGCGTTAAAGGAATCTCTGGAAAATCTCGGCACCAACTATGTCGATTTGTATTTAATGCATTGGCCGATGGGACTGAATGTAAGTACCAACACTCACACTCACGCACACACGCACACACGCACACACCCACACACACGCATGGGACAGGTTGGCAAAAACTGAAACAGTGAATTCAAACCATTATTCTGAACTGAACACGAGTGGAAATCATTTCCGGAAAACTTAACATTAATTGCATTTTTCATTTAAAATCATCTAATCTATAATATTATGACGTCTGCATCTTCAATCATTAGATTTTTTTTATACAACTTAGAATGGCAAACAAGCTGACGGCTCACCTGATGGAAAGTGGCAACCGTCGCCTATAGACATGAGCAGTACCATGGACATAACAGAGTACACTGTTTCGCCCATGATACCCCCCATGCGTTGCCAATCCTGAGGATTCAGGTGTTGTTCCTCTGTACCCTGTAAATTCACGCCATATCCCACCCTTCAAACCGAAACACAGCCATGCAAACACAACTGCTTCACGGTTGAAACACGAATGGGACAGAGGTGACCAAGCAATCGACTTTTGTACAAATGCGGATTATCAATCCCAATGCTAACATTATACCCTGTAGAAACCTTAATATATCCTTTTTGAAGTAACCCATATTCTTATTGTATCTTGCAGGACGATTATTCCCATTCCGATGTGGATTATATGGAGACCTGGCGAGGTATGGAGGACGCCGTGAAGCTTGGACTGGCCAAGTCAATCGGATTGTCCAACTTCAATAAAGAACAAGTGGAGAGAGTGATCAAAGAAGGGGACATTAAACCAGCTGTTTTGCAAATTGAGGTATTATTACCAGTAATATGTGAAGCAAAAACTTTGTAGCCATTTTTATGAAAATTGCGCGGACGGAGGAGTATGGAATTTGGCACACTTATAGTTTATATAGAGAAGGAGTGCAGAATGATAATATTTTTTTTTAAATTATGCATAAAAAATACATTAAATCAGTAAAAAAAAAATATATTACATACACACTACCACGTATTTGGCACACACACACGCGTATATACTCTTTTGTTTATTGTTACAGTCTGCGGTCGAATTGAGAATAGATTAATATTGTTTGTCTGTTAATATTATTTGTCTATGGTCTTACTAAATGTCAAACATAACTTTAATAAATTCATTTGTAATAAATGTTATGGTCGAATTTCGACCACGAGGCGACCACAAGTTATTATTAATATGTGAGCCAGGGGGGAACGGGATTGTTGGTAATGGAGACTGAGAATCCCATTGCTAGCAATATACCCAACCAGGTCGACCTCCTCGCGGTTCCACCTGGAAACTATCATGGTTAATTCCTGGTGAATTAATCATGATGGGCTAACTGGCCTGTTTTCATTCTCACCTATCACCCTTCACTGGTGCTCCGCCAGCGTATCCCGTTAGCGCACGCGGGGTTACCATACCATTTTCACCCATCAAAAAAAAAAATATGTGAGCCATTTACTGTCTACTGCTGAATTTTTCTCTATTCCCCTCCAGGATTTGTTAGTAGTTCACATTGATGATAATGGAATGGTAACCCGGCCTGCGTTATCGGTATACACTGGCGGGGCACCAGTGAGGGATGATAGGTGAGGGTAAAGCAGGTCAGTTAGCCCACCGTGACGAATGTAACAATAAATCAATCATGACGGTTTCCAGGGGGAACTACAAGGAGGTCTACGTGACAGGGTAAATTGGTAGCAATGGAACTACTAAAATCCCCAATACATTAGTATCAATCAATCAATTTACCAGAGGGAGACTTTGTACAAAAGTCGATTGCTTTGGTACCTCTGTCCCATTCGTGTTTCAACCGTGAAGCAGGTGTGTTTGCATGGCTGTGTTTCGGTTTGAAGGGTGGGATATGGCGTGAATTTACAGGGTACAGAGGAATAACAACTGAGTCCTCAGGAATGGCAACGCATGGGAGGTATCATGGGCGAAACAGTATACTCTGTTATGTCCACGGTACTGCTTATGTGTATAGGCGACGGTTACCACTTTCCATCAGGTGGGCCGTCAGCTTGTTTGCCATTCTAAGTTGTATAAAAAAAATCCCTTTCCCCCCTAGTGGGTTAGCTACCGCAGTTAGGTTCTGATGATGTTCTCTACTCGTCTTCACTTATTCATACCTTATTTACAGGTCCATCTTCAAATAGTTCAAGCCGAGTTGGTGTCTTACGCCCAGTCTCAAGGTGTAATCGTTATGGGCTATAGCCCATTTGGATCTCTTGTGACTAGGTTCGGAGAGACCAAACCCGGTCCGAAGATCGACGACCCTACCCTGATGAAGATAGCCCAGAAGTACGGGAAGACTACTCCACAGGTTGTGCTGAGATGGCTGGTGAGTTCCCATTTACCTGACACATAAAAAATATGTTTTACAGTATTCATATGTATTATATATTAAGGACTCTAGAGCGTCGGCAACGTGCACGTGACATCCCTAGTGTTGCAGGCGTCCATAGGCTACAGTGACCGTTTACCATCAGACGGGCCGTATGATTATATTGACGAGCTATGAGAATAGTTGATGATTCGAAGCTCGCAGGCGGTATCAAGCCCTTAAGTCTAAGGCGAGACTTGGCCTTCTCACGTGTGTTCTACCGCTTCTATAACGGATTGTGTTCTGAGGAATTGTTTGAAATTATGTTTACAGCCACCTTTTATTACAGCGCCGCTTGCTATCGGCAAGGAATTCATTCTCACGCTTAAAAGGTCATGGTTCCTTACAGACTACAGTATGGGATTCTTTAAAAAGGGCATATTAAGGTTCCTTCAGGGTCGTCAACGCGCACGTGACACCCCCAGTGTTGCAGGCGTCCATAGGCTACAGTGACTGTTTACCATTAGATGGGCTGTATATTTGTTTACCACCTTTGTGGTATAAAAAAAAAAGAAATAATACTCGAATGCCCGAGTTTTACAACCTAAGAACAAGGAATTACATAGGAGGAGTGATAAAATTGTCACTTCATAGCAGGCTAGTGTATAGAAAATGTTATACGGCCGTATAACCCTACCAAATTCAGATACAACCTGCTCGCATACTTTCTACATAAACTGTGTCGAATATATAATCTAGTAATGTAAAATTTGTCATTGACAAATATATTTGACATATCAAACATTTTCTATACACTAGCCTGCTATGAGTTGAGAAAAATAGCAACTGGTGGTGTATCTTTCGTCCTCTTTTTACTAATTATATTTGCATAAGAAGAGAGGAGACAACCATATGATTTACAAATTTTATTTTATTATTCCTTCTATGTAACACCTTGTTCATAGATTACAACGAAAAAGGCGGGAAGTTCTCAATTAGATTGTTTTTTTTTTTATGTTCGTTACCTCATAACTCCGTCATATATAAAACTTCTTTATTTATATTAGTTTTGTCACAATTGAAGTCAATTTTTATACAACCATTTTAAATTATATTTAATGTATTTTTATATATACAATTTATATTTTTATGTATATATAATGTATATTTATTAAACACTGTTTTCCTTTTTAAGACCCCTCATATTAAGTTATCTGAAATGTTTCCCTTGCGAAAGAAATCGTGTAGTGTCGGCGACACTGCGTTTGCCCGTACGGGTTCGCCACTGAAGAACCTTTCCCTAGATGGAGTGACGGCCTCAAATGCTTTGTAGGGAGTCAGTGGTAGCAGATGGCTGAGGACAGTTCCTTATGGCAGTCTATGGATTCACCAGAGACTTTGTACAAAAGTCGATTGCTTGGGTACTTCTGTCCCATTCGTGTTTCAACCGTGAAGCGGTTGTGTTTGCATGGCTGTGTTTCGGTTTGAAGGGTGGGATATGGCGTGAATTTACTGGATACAGAGGAATAACACCTGAGTCCTCAGGAATGGCAACGCATGGGGGTATCATGGGCGAAACAGTATACTCTGTTATGTCCATGGTACTGCTCATGTCTATAGGCGACGGTTACCGCTTTCCATCAGGTGGGCCGTCAGCTTGTTTGCCATTCTAAGTTGTATAAAAAAAATGGAGGAGGTTTATGTCCAACAGTGGATTTCCCATGTACAGACGTGGTCTATTTACAATTTTAGATATATAGATACTCTTTTTTGTTTACTCCATAAGATTACAATAGTAAACTTATTATAAATATAAACAATTACAAGAAATAATCACAATGAGAAAACAATGGGCGACCTTATCGCTAAGAGCGATCTCTTGCAGCCAACCTTTGGATGCCCATTTTTATATTTACCATATTATTTAGATATATATTATATGTTTTCAGGTGGACAGGAAAATTATACCTATCCCGAAGACGGTCAATCCAAAGAGGCTGAAGGAGAACATAGAGCTGTTTGATTTCCACTTGGACGACGACGAGATCGAGCTCATCAACGGGTTCGATCAACACGTCCGTTACACGCTGCCGTCGTTCTGGCAAAATCACACTTATTATCCGTTCGAGAAGGTCGATAATCCCATAGCAGATCCTTTTGTTAACAAAATGTAAAATTCAATACTTTTAAAATTTATTAAACAGAGCCATCTATTGGCGATCTAAGCAGAAATTGTTTTTTTTGTGGTGTGATTTTGGAATGGATTTATTTTTATTAGTGAAAATAGAATGGTAACCCCGCCTGCGCTATTGGTATACACTAGCGGGGCACCAGTGAGGGATGATAGGTGAAAAGGCAGGTCAGTTAGACCATCGTGATGAATATATCTGATGCAGCACGATGTATATACACAGCATAGTTTCTAGGGGGGCCATGTGGAGGTCGACCTGACAGAGTGTATTACTAGACAGCACTGGAATTGAGGCTTGAAGTTCTTGTTGATCATTTTGTAATTATAGAGAATATGAAGTAAAATTTTTAAATTGACTAAATATTTCGTGTCCAAGAATTGGTAAGATAACGTGCCGTTACTGGAGGTTCCAGGTTACCAGAGGGAGACTTTCTACAAACGTCGTTTGCTTGGGTACTTCTGTCCCATTCGTGTTTAAACCGTGAAGCAGTTGTGTTTGCATGGCTGTGTTTCGGTTTGAAGGGTGGGATATGGCGTGAATTTACTGGGTACAGAGGAATAACACCTGAGTCCTCAGGAATGGCAACGCATGGGGGTATCATGGCCGAAACAGTATACTCTGTTATGTCCACGGTACTGCTCATGTCTATAGGCGACGGTTACCACTTTCCATCAGGTGGGTCGTCAGCTTGTTTGCCATTCTAAGTTGTATAAAAAAAAAGGTTCTTCTTAACACATAACGACATTCCAAACCCTGGTTATTTAAGATTAAGCAAAGTTTGTAAACAAGTCAATTTAATTAAAAATTATTTCTATTCATTTCTACTGCAAATTATACAAGTATCCTTTCCCTATTATTATATTAAGGGGGGGAAGAGATTGTTAGTAATAGGGTAGTTAGTATTGCTATCAATATACCCTATCAGGTCGACCACCACGCGGTTCCCTCTGGAAACTATCGTGGCTAATTTATCGTTGAATTCGTCACGATGGGCTCACTGACCTGCTTCATCCTCACCAATCATTCCTCACTGGTGCCCCGCCGGTGTATACCGATAGCGTAAGCGGGGTTACCATTTCATTATCACCCATTAAAAAAAACCTATCTATTCATAATCAACTAATACAATAATGCGCCACTAGATGGCGTTACTAACAACTTTACAACGCGTTATGGTTTCGTTTTGTTAAATGTATGAAAAACATTTTTGGCAGAAGCTCTTCCATCCTCATCTATCTATTTAAACTAAAAATTTTTCTGCGATGCAGTTGTAAATTTATTTTACAATTAGCATCTAAATTATATTTGATACTACCTATCGCCTCACGACTTTGTCCGCGTGGTATTTATTCCCATTCTTTTTTTATTTTTAATGGGTGAAAATGGAATGGAAACCCCGCTCGCGTTGTCGGTATACACCGACGAGGCACCAGTAGAAGATGATAGGTGAGAATGAATGCAGGTCAGTTGGCTCGCCATGATGAATTCGACAAGAATTAACCATGATGGTTTCCAGGGGGAACCGCGTGGAGGTTGATCTGAGAGAGTATATTACTAGCAATGGGGATATTAGACCTCATTATTAGCTGTCCCTTTCCCCCCAATTCTGTTATTCCTGTTTAGTAGGTATCGATGTACGTACCTACCTATTTATTAAGTCCGGGAATACTGTACCAAAATTAACAAATGACGTGTCGTTCTCACTCTTTGCCTCAGGTCGAAATGACCTTACTTGAGTAAGTTATGTACTAAGCTGTATAAGTTACTATAGTTTTTTAACTATCCCACGGGAACTCTTTAATTTTCCGTGAGTAAAAGTATCTAAAATGTTGACCGGGGATGTAAGGTACCACCATGCAAAATTTTATTTAAATCGGTCTAACAGTTTCGGAGAATAGCCCGTTCAAACAGGCAGAAAACAAAAATTTGAAAAAAATCTTGGATATGTCCTATTTCACATCTAACATCCCCGTGACTCGGTTTTTAGCGTTTTTTCTTCTATGTACAGACATTCGACCTCTACAATTTTATTACCATATATGTATAGAATTATGCATAGGCATTTGGTTCGTTGTTATACCATGGTTTTTATACCATTAATGAACATTCCACTAAAAAAACAAATGCACTTGACAACCTGTACTAGAGATGCAACCCGCCACAAACTAAAATTTCATCCCAACCAACTGGACGAGTGGCGGTCCTCCACCGTGCGTTTTTCAAGGCACTTTCTTCCACGCACAACCACTCTTTGGAATCAACTTCCAGCAGCAGTATTTCCGAATCGATGCGACAACATAACCTTCAAGAAAAGAGCATAATCCTTTCTAAAAGGCCGGCAGCACACCTGCAATGCCTCTGGTACTGTGGGTGATCATAGGCGGCGGTAGTCACTTACCATCAGGTGAGACGCATACACGTTTGCCTATTATGGTATAAAAAAAAAAATAAAATAAAATACATGTTAAACATATCACATATTTATTTACGCTAATTGGATAGAAGCTTACATTTACAAACACAATAATTTACAACAAATTGTCACGGTATTCCGTCGTTGAACGATGCGGGTGACATCTTATTTATATTTTTAATACACAATCGGGATTTAAAGCGATAAAAAAAACTTTGGTAAAGTAAATAATACATACATAGATAGATAGATACACTTTCTTCCAAAAGATTACAATTTTTTTTTTTATTTTTATTTTATTTATTAGGCGCACATAACAGAAGTTTACAAATACAAACTTTACAAACAAGTACATTAATGTATTGGATCAGGTAAACTTGCCACAACATGTGCACACAGCGTGATCCAATAATAAATGCGACTGCAACAAAGCCATTCGGTTGCAACTATTTGTGAACAATGGTAAACTTATTATAGATACAAACAATTACAAGAAATAATCACAGTGAGGAAACAATGGGCGGCCTTATCGCTAAGAGCGATCTCTTCCAGGCAACCTTTGGATTGAGAGTAATTATAAACAATTATATATATATATATATATATATATATATATAATGTTAATCGCGTTAACTCCCGATTGCGTATTAAAAATAATACAATAATATCATAACAAAATTTTTACAATAAAACACAAAAATATATTAAAAGAATCAATTTTGTCATTAAATTTATAACAATTTTTTATTACAAATAGTTTTTATCTATTGCAAGAGTTATTCATTTGTAAACTCGAAACCAAGTGTGGATATTGAACGAATACAAAATATTACTTCATATAATTTCTAATTTTACATAGTATTTGATATGAAATATTAATTTAAAATTTATGAGGGAGACTTTGTACAAAAGTGGCTCGCTTGGCCACCTCTGTCACATTCGTGTTTCTATCGTGAAGCAGTTGTGTTTGCATAGCTGTGTTTCGGTTTGAAGAATGGGATATGGCGTGAATTTACTGGGTACGGAGGAATAACACCTGAGTTCTCAGGAATGGCAACGCATGGGGGGTATCATGGGCGAAACAGTACACTCTGTTATGTCCACGGTACTGCTCATGTCTATAGGCGACGGTTACCACTTTCCATCAGGTGGGCCGTCAGCTTGTTTGCCATTCTAAGTTGTATAAAAAAAATATATCTAATTTTATTATCACTATATTGTGTAATTTACTATGTTTTTTTTTTACTATTGAAATGTCCCGGGATTGATCACTTATTATATTGAAAACTTAACAACGCATCTAGCGGATAATTTTTGATAGTTGTTGTCTATTCATCCGGCTCGAAGGACTACACTCCTTCATTCATCGATCCGGCTCGAAGGACCATAGTCCTTCGAGCCGGATGAATATAGCATATTTAGTATAGTTTTTATCTACTATTGAAATTGTAATGAATACGCCATACGAATAGGTCAGTTCAAAGGTATGAACGATCACTTCAATCTATCTTTTTCCAATCTAGTTTACAGATAAACGACAGACAATTATTTGCGGTTCAATTGAGTAAAATTAAAAATAAGGAATAATATTTTTAATAAAAAAAAAACAATAAATTCTTATTAAATTTTAAATTTACTTTTGAATTAAAACAATCTATGCTATCATGCTATGCTATCATGCTACAACAATCATATATTTTGCAACATCGTATTACCCATTCAACGTGCCACAACTCTTTGGCTAAATTATATATATAAACAAAAAAAAAAAAAGAAATTAACGAATACACTTCCTGACAGAACTAGAATTCAAATTTTAAAGAATCTATGCACTCAATCGAGATCAACACAAGAATAAATACGGGTAGAGTCGACACTACCGTGGCTTCAATAATATAAACTATTGCGGTGTGCTGACTGTCCGCTACTGCTCCTGTTAAAAGCCAAATCAGTCAGGCATGTGTGTTTAAAAATCAGAACTGTCTGGTACCAACCTCAGGATACGAGTGAAGTTTCGTAGACATTTGGAAGTACATATGCGTCTATATTAACTTGTAGAGCGATCGGCTTTAGGCTAGCTCGCTACACCCACTGCGTCACCGATTTTTTAAATTAGCAATTTTCGATTAGAGATTATAGATAAATTGGTTTATTACCTACATAAATTTAATGAAAACGACGCTGCAAATTCAAGTTAAGCCACAGACGGTGTTGCATTAGCGTGCGGTACCATATTTTTGTACGGTACCGCTGTATGACACATAAACGCTCGAGGGGTTAAGGGACCAGACCCTGCCTGGAAAGTGTCATTGCTGTTAAAGTTTTCAAACAGGCATAGTATTCGTGAGGTACTGGCATAGAATAGGCCATCCCTTCCTTTCCTGTGGGTGTCGTAAGACTAGAGGAACGTAATGATAGAAAGATGGGCAGCAGCGTCCCTCTTAAAACATCACCAAAGCCTAACTGCGGTTGCCAATCAGCCTGCCAAGCGTGGCAACTACTGGCAAAACTCCCCAAGGGGGAGGCTTTTGTTCAGCAGTGGACAGTTAAAGGCTGATATTCTAAGAAACTTCATATCGTTTACCGTTGTGTGTTCACGCTTCACGCGCATTGAAGTCGCTTTTTGGCGTAAAATATACAGATGTATGGATGTATGTAACGAACATATATCCGGACATTGTTACAATGTATAACGTAAACGTCTTAATTGTGAAAATTTTACTGTTAAAAGTTTCATAAACTCATTATATTTTAATGTAATAACTACCGGTTTAACTTACGTGTGAGCAGATCGAGAAAGCTCGACTAGTTTCGGGATCAATTCGTGATCCTTAATTATGAGCCACACTCGCACACGCGTCACAACCGCTCATGACATTACACACACAGTTACAGGAGTTAAAATGGTTGCTATTACATTAAAATTGTGGAAACGCTACAGGTTACAGGACGTCAGTATAAAATTAACATGGCGGCTTGTAAACAGGGCCGACTTTATGGGGAGCGTGGTCGGGCCGTCCCCCGGGACGCTGAGATGTAAGAGGTGCTACAGGATTATTAAAAGAACGCAACAAAAACAAATAGATAAGCCGGCCATCTTTAACACTTTCAAAGGTGACCTTTTTATGGTTTCGGGCTTTGCTTAGATGCACCAAGTACACTAAAGCTGTCCCTGTCTATAGATCACAAAGTAACAGCCTGGTTCCTTATGTCTGCCATATACATCTTTCGGGTACTTTCCTCTATCTTCTAGAACATTCTATTTTATTATATTTTAACTGATTTAAAGATAACGTCTAACTAATATTGTTTTGATATAATTTTTAAAAACTTTTTGACAACGGTACCGATGACTGACACGGTATCGGTAAATTAAAAAAAAAAAACTGCTAATTTCATTGTTCTTGGTCCATACGCTGTCAAATTCTATCATCTTTATCGTACATTCTCTATGACCAACTTCTCTGTTCGGTACATCTCTCCAATAAGCACCTGCAAAACACCAATAAATTGCATTTTCCACCTACAACACCTGAGGGAGACTTTGTACAAAAGTCGTTTGCTTGGTCACCTCAATCCCATTGGTGTTTCTACCGTAAAGCAGTTGTTTGCATGGCTGTGTTTCGGTTTGAAGGGTGGGATATGGTGTGAATTTACAGGGTACAGAGGAATAACACTTGAGTCCTCAGGAATGGCAATGCAGGGGGAGTATCATGGGCGAAACAGTATACTCTGTTATGTCCATGGTACTGCTCATGTCTATAGGCGACGGTTACCATTTTCCATCCGTTGTATAAAAAAAAACCAATATTATTATTACACCATCACCATATGGGGGTGGAGATTGTTATTAAAGGGTACTATTAGCCCCACTGCTAGCGATATCCATCTTCTTGGGAACTATTCTAGTTAATTAGCCATATTAAAGACTAATAGACTCGATTCCATCCTCCCCTATCACCATTCACATGGGGGAGAAGGGTTTTTAGTAATGGGGACTAGTAGCCCCATTGCTAGCAACATACCCATTTGGGGGGAAGAGATTGTTAGTAATACGGACTACCAATCCCATTGCTAGCAATGTACCCTGTCAGGTCGACCTTCGCGTGGTTCTCCTTGGAAACCATCGTACTGAATTCCAGGTGTGTCCATCACGATGGGCTAACTGACAAGCCTTTTCATTCTCACCTGTCATCCATCACTGGTGCCCCGCCAGCGTATACCGATAGACAGGGCCGGCAGACAGGGTTACCTTTCCATTCAGATTTATTTCAGAATTAACCACAATGGTTTCCAGGGAAATCATGTGGAAGTCGACTTGATATGGTGTATTGCTAGCAATGGGACAGTTAGACCCCTCTCTCTCTAATATTGCTAACATCAAGTTTGACACATGCAAGTTATTTTTTTATGATAAATAAAACATTAAACAAGCTGATAGCCATGTAGGTCCCAGGATAGAATAGGCCACCCCTTCCTTTCCCGTGGGTGTCGTAAGAGGCCATTAAGGGAACTCATGGTGGAGCGATGGGCAGCAGCGTCTCTCTTGAACCATCATGAAAAAGTTTGCACTTGCCAAGCCACCTGCTAACAGTCGCAACTACTGGCAAAACCCCCCTTATGGGGGAGGCTATGTTCAGCAGTGGGCAGTTAACGGCTGACACAAGACATGCTGACTGTCTATTTGAATCATCTAATTTTTTTTTAATATGCAACTTAGAATGGCAAACAAGCTGACGGCTCACCTGATGGAAAGTGGTAACCGTCACCTTTAGACATGAGCAGTACCTAAAAACTATGTAAAGATTAACAAAAATTACCTGGCGTTTAATTATATCTAAATTCTCTTTAGCATAATTAAATTCCTTTACAGCTAGTTTGGGATCCGTTACATTCTTTGCTTCTTTGAAGGCGTCCCTCACTCTCCTTAATGCGTAGGATCTGGAAATCAAAATATTAATAATTAACATTAGAATGATCAATTACTCTTTTTTTTATATATACAACTTAGAATGGCAAACAAGCTGACGGCCCACCTGATGGAAAGTGGTAACCGTCGCCTATAGACATGAGCAGTGCCATGGATATAACAGAGTATACTGTTTCACCCATGATACCCCCCATGCGTTGCCATTCTTGAGGACTCAGGTGTTATTCTTCTTATATTACAATGATAAATATTAGACATACAATTTAATTATTTTTTACATAGCCATGCAAACACAACTGCTTCACGGTTGAAACATGAATGGGACAGAGGTACCTAAGCAATCGACTTTTGTACAAAGTCTCCCTCTTTCTCTCACTAGACAAGTGAGGGATTTATTTTTATTGGGTGAAAATGAAATAGTGTCCCTCCAAAGATTATCAATATTCACTAGTGGAGCACTGAGGGATGATAGATAGATAGATAGATAATTTATTTACATTACTTACAGCACACAAATTACAATACAAACATACACATAATACACAGTAAAAGAGATAAAAGAATGAAAAACAAAAAAAAAAGCAAAATATATAAAATAACAATTTCCTTTTATTCCCTTCATGCGTGTACCATAGTAACACAAAATGGTCACAACTCAGTTTATTGCTTCGCCCTCAAAAGAGCTAAACACTGATATTCTGTTGTGGCCAAGAGTCAGTCGCGAAATTCCTTATTAAAAATAATAATAAAAAGAAATATTAATAAAATGCATTGTGTGTGTCCATTACATTTGTCTCCATTTGATATTATATTCTAAATAAATAAATAAATAACAGATACCATTAGATGAGGGGTAGTCAGAGGTCACTTTCTGTCACATTCAGGCATTAAATGTTTCCGCTACGTACCTATTAGGTATGAAAATTTTTTGTTTATTAATAAAAAAAATTATATGCCAATTTTTTGTTTATTAATAAAAAAAAAATTAAGTTCTTTTTTAAATATATATTTAGTTTTAGACAATCTGATAGGTGAAGATAGAAACAGGTCAGTAGGCTCATCTAAAAGTTTTTGTTTTGAACACAGTACTAACTTTACATTCAATTACTTTAAACAGTTTTTCGCATGCAATCTGGGTCATCCTGGGATATTTTGGAAACAAATATTTTAAATTTAATTTTACTTTTACATCATGCCAAATTATTTTTAATGATCTGTGGCGTAAATTATAATTCACCAGAGGGAGACTTTGTACAAAAGTTGTTTGCTTGGGTACCTCTGTCTCATTCGTGTTTCAACCGTGAAGCAGTTTTGTTTGCATGATTGTGTTTCGGATTGAAGGGTGGGATATGGCATGAATTTACAGGGTACAGAGGAATAACACCCGAGTCCTCAGGAATGGCAACGGGGGTATTATGGGCGAAACTGTATACTCTGTTATGTCCACGGTACTGCTCATGTCTATAGGCGACGGTTACCACTTTCCATCAGAAAGGATCATTTACAAACGTTCATGCATTTCATAAACAATCTCTGTCTCACACTTTGCTTTTGTCTTGAGTCATTCTTTAAAGTATTCACATTAAGTACTCGTCTTTAAATATTAAATTGAAATCCAAGTGGGGGGACCCAAGAAAATACTTAACAATCTGCCAATACATTTTTTTTAAACTCAGTGCCACCATTATTTTAAATTAGATATTATCATTTTCATCTTAATTTCACAATTAAAAAAAATTTTTATCCAAGCAAGTGGCAGAATCCCCAGTAGCTCTAGTAGGTTCTAAAAATAGATTATGTAGGTCAAATAATCTAAATAAATTTATTACTTAATTTCAAACAAGTTGAACGACTTGATAAAAGATCGACATTAAAGTCGCCACCGCGCCATTATCATTGGATAAAATTAACATACATATGTTTTGTGTGTGACACATTTAAATAGAATTACAAGGAATTACTTATTAGCGATCCGGCCCAACTTCACTCGGGTAGATAGAATTTTGGAAAACAATATATAAACTATGTTGGTCCCTCACAATGTAGCTTTGTACATATGAAAAAAAAATTTAAATTGATTGAGATTTTAAAATGTTTCTTTGTTTTTCATATCTTTTCTTATTATAACATTAGTATAGACTAGCTGGGGGTTTCCCTGATGACAGTCGCCTTCAAATAGTCGTAACCGAGAAACCTTGAAACATTTTAATACATGGAGGTTATAAATAAATTATTAATTTAGAAGAAATGGTATTCTGTTGTTTCTATTAATGCCACAGATAAACGGAAAATGTTCAATACGGTTTTTTTTTAATGTTGCGCAATATTAAGTATAATTAGAATTATTTTTACTTTTTGAGTGCTTTTAGGTTATGTAATTTTATGATACAGTAAAAATATTACCTGAAGTTGTAATTAGGGAATTTCTGCGATTCTCTCATCAATTGCTTGTATAGAGATAAGATTTGTGATTTAGTGACACCAGAACTCATTTTTATATTTATTTCACAAAGAATTTTAAACAGATATAGACACAACAAATTCTTTTTGTAAATAGAGATAGTTTCATTTCACGTAAACGTCCAATGTCATATGTTAAATGACAAAAGTGTCAATTTGAAATATAAATATCAATAGCTTTGTGAATGCTATTTTATTGAAATAATTATTGATGCTTTTTATAAATTGGAAGATTTAAAATTTTAGTATTTATTAAATTTATAATATTTCCTTTATTTCAGAACTTCTGAAATATACAATTTTGATAAACACAAAATGCGTAATTAGAAACGTATTATTAGAGTGTTGTTGACTATAAAAAAATCCATAGCGTGAGGGACTCCTCGATTTTTTTAAAATTTAATTCGTAGTATAAATTCATACAAAATTGATTTATTATTTTTAATTTCCTCATGAAGATTTTGAATCTATCTTCATTAGTTTTATGTCACAATCATGTTTTGGTTAACCTATTGTGTAAGTATTGTAACAACATCAAACAAAAGTTTAGTAGAAGCATTTGTCTGGACGCGATGAAGGTGGTATAGAAATTTTTGACATCAGACAGCGACTTAAAAACTTTAATTTACTGAAAGTTGAAACTGGGTAGAATAGGATTATAATAATGGCAACACCAAAATGGCTGCAACCATCTATTGAACTTTAGATCTCATATCATTTCTCTGTCAATTTAATTCTATATAATAATTTTAAGCTAATGAATTGCAATTAAAGTTGTGTGTTGAGATCAGTTATTATCAGTGATTCATAATATTTACATCGACAAAACATCTACAGTAAGTATTATTGGAATAAAGTAAATATTGACACGACATTATTTTGGTTACTTTATTATAAAAAAAAAAATATTTTACTTTTTAAAAGCAACGACCTTAGAATGGGAGAGTTTTCAATTACTCCTTTATTTTAATAAAAAAATTGACATTTTCTGTTTTTAAATGAAAAAAGGCGCGAGTGTTTATTTGGTTTATACTTATTGTGTAAGTATATCAAACCGGAATTGTGCGATACGTAACATAATAATTAATGCTAATCACGGGTCTTTTGTAAACAAACTAGTGACCGAGTAATTTTTAAATTGTATAATTTTCCACATTACGTTTTGCAACTTTTAATCATAATACATTCATTGACACACTTCTAAATTGTACTAAATTTATAACCCTTATTTCAGTGAAGTTAGAATCTAGTGTCTAGTTGGATTTTTTTTTAAATAAGAATAATTTTCTTTTCTTTTGTTGACAAACAGCTTAAAAAGTTGGCATAAATTTTTTATAGACAGATCTATATGTATTTATCATGTAATAAAACTAACTAGACATGTCTGTACATGTACTACATACAAATTAATGTCATGTATCAATTTACCAAAGTGTAACTGCTTCAAGAACTTTTAAATACTCAAGGACCTTTTCTGCTGTTTATGGATATATCATTTTAACAATTCAAGATATTTAAACTGAAGAAAATATAATAATTACATTATACATGAGTTGTATGGGCAGGGCCCTTTGCCTTTTCCTTTAGCATAAACAGAACCAAAAAAATCAAACATGTTTATAGGAAACAGTTACTACTTTTTATTCCAGAAAACTTACATTAATTTATAGTTTTTTTCTTTATTTTAATTAAATCTGTTATGATTTTAATAATCATAATTTAGTTCCTGAGTTAGGTTGGAATATAAATTTATTTGTCATGAAATTTATGCACAAAATATGCATGAAGGCGTAGAGGAGTGCTTCTCTATCTTGTACATGAAAAAGAATTGTGAATAAAATTTATGGATTTTATTTTATCAAATTTCTATTATTAACTATCTAGTACTGAACTAATAAGGTAATGTGAAATATGAATTCAGAATTTTTGTATTGGTTGGCTCAGTAGGTCTACCATGAAATGATTTTCGAAATTTCGGGGACGAACGAAACAGAAATTTGATGTTAAAATTACATAATACATGCTGTTTAAAATTATTAAAAATGTTAAAATATCGTTCCTCTGAACTATTAGGATAGGATTTATGATGAATGAAATGTTAAGCTCCATTTACTGGCTCGATTTCGGTACGAACAAAAACACGAAATTGGACCTGAAAATTCAGAATTTCATTTCATGGTAGACCACCTGATCCTGCATGTTATTACCTTATTAACTTAACATTTATTGAATGAATGATATGAAATGAAATGCTTGCTGTATAGGCTAATCATGTCTTTGGTCTCTCCCAAAGGCAAAAATATAGGATTAAAAAAAAACAGAAAAAAAAATCTCTGACTAAACATAACCTACAGAATATTTTTTATTTTTTCTTCAAATAATATTCAAGTATATATAAATTATTATAAAAAAATCATATAAATAAAAATTAATTGTTGAAATATCTTACATATTACTTCAGAACCTATGCACCTATTTGACTTATTCTTTTTGGTCTTGTTTTAGTTAGGACTAGATTTGTATAAAAGGATTAGTTTTAAAAATTTTATATGTAAAAAAGTAAAATATGTAGGCTAAACAATGTCTTATATTTTTCATTAGCACACCTGTGTGAAGGTGGGGCAGAGCTAGTACACAATAAAATTTTAACCATAAAGTGTATTTTTTTTTATACAACTTAGAATGGCAAACAAGCTAACGGCCCACCTGATGGAAAGTGGTAACCGTCGCCTATAGACATGAGCAGTACCATAAACATAACAGAGTATACTGTTTCGTCCATGATACCCCCCATGCGTTGCCATTCCTGAAGACTCAGGTGTTATTCCTCTGTACCCTGTAAATTCACGCCATATCCCACCCTTAAAACCGAAACACAGCCATGCAAACACAACTGCTTCACGGTTGAAACACGAATGGGACAGAGGTACCCAAGCAATCGACTTTTGTACAAAGTCTCCCTCTGGTATGCAATTATGATAAACTTTAAACCTTCAACCTTTTTTTTAATGGGTGAAGATGGAATAGTAACTCTGTCTCCATTATCTGAATATGCTATTGGGGCACCAGTGAAAGATGACGGGTCAGGATGAAAGTGAATCCCGGTGTGGTCCCGGCAGAATATGCCACCACTACCTTTTTCGAGGGTATCGTAAAAGGCGACTAAGGGAGAGGCAGTAGCGTCTCTATTAAAACATCACCAAAAGCATAAATACTGTTACCAACTCGCTTGATAAACATGGCAACTACTAGCAAAACCTTCCTTATGGGTTATGTTCAGTTAACGGCCAATACAACAGTACAACAAGGGGGGAAAGGGATTGTTAGCAATGGCGACTGAGAATCCCTTTGCTAGCGATATACCCAACCAGGTCGACCTCCCCGCGGTTCTCCCTGGAATCTATCATGGTTAATTCTGTTGTAAATAGCAGGATGCGGTAATAAAACATATATGTATTTGAGATATAAAATAAGTTTAGTAAAAAAAAAATACGAGACATGTCTTATAAAAATCTGACATAGAACAGACTTAAAAATAATACTTTGTTCTAAAAAACCTCACTGTCAACAGCCAGTATTAAAACTTCAACAAATTCCTGATGAATTCATCATGTTGGGCTGACTGGCCTGTTTTCATTCTCATCTATCACCCTTCACTGGTGCTCCGCCAGCGTATCCCGTTAGCGCGGGCGGGGTTACCATACCATTTTCACCCATAAAAAAAAAATCATTATAACAAAAAGTATAGTTATGTTATGAATTTTGTCCTTTAAAAAGGCACTTAAGTCGACTCATTTTTATTATCTGGAAACATTTAAATAAGAATGTTAATTGAAGTTAATTAGTTCAGTAAAAGAAACTGTCATAGTTAAACAATCGAGTGGCAGTTAACAAATTGTGTAAAATGAGCGAGCTATTTATGGCCAAGGTGGTATGTAATCTACCTACGTTTGTAGTAATGCATCGGCTGGTGCAAGGCCAAGTGCATGACTTGATTGATGTTAATTGATTAAATGATACTAGCTAACCGCCCTGGCTTCGCACGGATAGATAGAAATATATTTTTTTTTATTCATATTTTTGTTGAGGATTTAGTACACCTTAGTGACTATGCCAGCCTCATAGGGAATGTCTGAAAGCCAGTCTGTCAGTTTTTTTGTGGTGAGAATGAAAAGGCAGGTCAGTTAGCCCATCGTGATGAATACACCAGGAATTCAGCACGATGTTTTCTATGGGAGACAACGTGGAGGTAGACCTTATGGGGGGGCATATATATATATATATATATATATATATATATATATATATATATATATATATATATATATATATATATATATACATATTAAAACTGAATAGTACTTCTTCATGTTATTATATCATCCGTTAATTGTCCACCGCTGAACATAGGCTTTTTCCATAAAAGGGCATTTGCCATTAGTTGCCACGCTTGGCAGGCGGGCTGGCAACCTCAATTTTTTTAAACGGTTGATGGAATGATAACACCGCCAGCGCTATCGGTATGCACTAGTGGGGCACCAGTGAGGGATGATAGGCGAGGATCAAGTAGGTCAGTTGGACCATCGTGATGAATTCATAAAAAAATAACCATGATGGATTCCAGGGGGAACCGCGCGGAGGTCGGCCTTAGAGGGTGGGTATATTGCTAACGATGGGGCCAGTAATTCCCATTATTAACAATCCCTTCTCCCCCCGGCAGCCGCCGTTAGTCTTTTGGTGACGTTCTAAGAGGGACATTACTGCCCGTCCCTCGATCGTGAAGTTCTCTTTGTTGCCTCAGACGACACGCACGGGAAAGGAAGGAAAAAAATATATTAATAAGGAAATATTATTTTGTTTGGTTCCAGCCAAATACATGGCACACCAAGATGGCGGTAGACACAGCTGGGACGACGAGGAACGGTTCTATTCGTCAGGGCGCGACAGCGACGACAGTCCAATATTGTCATACAGGTAAGGGCCAGTTATGGTGGTCTTAACAGGAGAAATATTAAAAAAAATAACGTCTAGGTCGGCAATACACACTATATATATAGTTTTTTGAGGCTGGGGGGGAAAGGGATTGTTAGTAATAGGGTCAAATAGCCCCATTACTAGCAATATACCCTGTCAGGTCGACCTCCACGCATGGTTCCTCCTGGAATCCATCGTGGCTAATTCTAGTAGAATTCATCAGGATGGGCTAACTGACCTGCTTTCATCCTCATCAGTCATCTATCACTGGTGCCCCGCCAGTGTATACCGATAGCGCAGACGGGGTTACCATACCATTATCACCCGTTAAAAAAAAAACAATGAGACTGTCAAATTCCATTGTTAACAATCCCTTTCCCCCCAGTCTCGAGTATTAGCTAGTTGCTCAATAAATTTTAGTAAATAAATAATCACTTTCCAGACACGACAAGCGCCGGTACGCGCCGTACATCGCAGAGGAGAGAACAGAAGAGAGGGGGCGCCGCTCGACGGTGACGGTGCTCGCTAAATGCTTCCTCTTCTGTTCCACCATGATACTGTTCTGCGTGCTCATGTATATACCTGTATACAATAGGGCTAACGACCAGATCCCGAAAAGTAAGTTTTTTATAGTTTTTTTTTATGCAACTTAGAATGGCGAACAAGCTGACGGCCCACCTGATTGAAAGTGGTAACCGTCGCATATAGACATGAGCAGTACCATGGACATAACAGAGTATACTGTTTCGCCCATGATAGCCCCCATGCGTTAATTTTTTTTGTCATATTGTAGGCTTAGTCGCCGGCTGGTCGGTGCACACAAATCGCGACACGAAAATATACGTGCAACCAAACAACGTCACCACAATCCACGAGCCGAAAGACATCTGTCCAAAGTCGACGAGACACAAAAAGAACAATTTGTTCCTACTCATTGTAGTTAGTTCGTCCACTGTCAACTTTGACCGGCGTATCGCCATCAGGGAGACGTGGGGAAGCCAGGAGAATTATATTAAAATGTCGAAAATATTCAACGCAGTCAGAAATAAATATAAACACTACAATTATAGTTACGATCTGTACACGGAGACGGACAACGGCACGGCGAACGTTAGTAGGGAGAAACGTGACATATCCAGTTTTAGCCGGTTATTACCAGAATTGGCTAAGGCGCTCCAAAACAATTTAGAGAATATAAAGACTGATGATGTACCTGAGGAGAAACGCTACGATGATGCGGAGAAGAGGTTCGATGATGATATATTAACAGAGTTCGATATGAACAAAGAATTGGGTGATGTGACTGAAAATGATGTTGACTATTACGCTGACGACACAAACATCATGAGGATACCGCCGAACGGTTACGACGACACGCCAGATTTGGAGAAAATATTGAAAATGCTCAAACCGAATTTCCCCAAAAACGAGGAGAGAGCGGAAACTGGCAACACCGAGGTGGACTTCAGGCTTGTTTTTCTATTGGGGTTGCCAGCTCACGACAACGATACCACGGTACAGAGTAAGATAGAGGAGGAAGTTGAGAAATACGGTGATATAATACAAGAGGGATTTATTGATTCATACAATAACTTAACTTTGAAGTCTATTATGATGCTAAAGTGGATTACAAACAAATGCAATGAAAGTGGTAAGCATCTTTTTTTATATAAAACTGCTATATATCTTGTACTAGCGGCCCGTCAGGGCTTCGCACAGGTGGACATTTTTACGACATTTTAAAAAGTGGATATTGTGACATAACGATAATAGTTGGACATATAGTATCGCCAAGTTTTTTGTAGTCATTGATATTTTCTTCAATATTGTAGAACATACTTTTGTTCTATCACCAATAGTTTCCGCAGCGCACGCGACCAAACATATTTTATAGCATTTTTTTACACCTTGAGTTACGTTACTAAAGTTTTAGTAAGGATCCCTAATGTTTTCTAGCAATAAACAGCCTATGTTATTCAGGGTGAATGTAGCTTTCTAATGGTGAAAGAATTTTTGAAATCGGCAAAGTAGTTTTTGAGTTTATTCATTACAAACATACATACACACAAAAATATAAATCTTTCCTCTTTATAATATTAGTGTAGACGTATCTTCTAAGTTGACAATGGAGCCATATTTTCAACTAACTTAATATTTGTTACATAACTCCGTCAGTTATGAACCGATTTTAAAAATTCTTTTTTGTATCTGAAAACACATACTTTCAATTCGATCCCCATAGATTTTTTTATCAAAATCTATCTACTAGTACTTTAGTACTTTAACTCTTTTTTGTATATTTTTTTTTTTTTTTGGTGAAATAAATCAAGGTAATATAATTCATGTTCAAAATTAGAGAAAAAATGGTTAAAAAATAAATTTGACAGCTATGTTTTTTTTTTCTACAATGGACATTATAAAGGTATCCAGACACGATCAACTTGAAGTGATCTTGTTCTTTTAAACAATTTTTGGGCATTCAATGTTATGATGGAAATTTACACCGTTATGCAAAGAAGGGTTAATTTTGAAATCAAATTAACTGATTTTGCCACGTTTGGAGTCGTTTTTTTTTTGGATCACAATCTTAATTTTTTTAAACAATAACTAATACCATCAGATATATGTACCATCTCATAATCTCCTCCTTATCACCCCGTCACACCATTCCGGATTTATGTCCAATTCTTTTACTGTCACCGCTATCAGCCTTTGGAATGAAATCCCTGTAGATCTACGCAGAGCGTCAAGTAAGGATATTTTTAAAAGAAGACTTTTTAATTATTTGTTGAGTCAACAAAACCAGCTCTAGTTACAGGTCACTCAATAGTTATTATATCTCATAATGCTTATCGTTGTTTTAATTTATGTATATATATTTCATATGTATTAGTTTATCCATATATATTAAAAGTAATGTTTATGTATTACATGTGCATTTCTTATGTGTATATTATATTTATATTGTGTATTGCCTTAATGTGTTACTATAATTGTCATATATTTTTTACCACACCTGCCCTTCATACGCTTTCTGTTCTCACCCAATGGTTAGCTGGTAGAGAATGCCATATGGCATTAAGCTCACCACTTGTACAAAATTTTATTGTGCAATAAAGAATAAATAAATAAATAAATAAAATAAAATAAAATATCATAGACGACTGATTCGTTTTTTTATGTTTTTTTTTTTCATAAATAAGTATATGTATGTAGCTTATATACAAGTTGTGTCCCGCGTCTTTGCCCGAATGACTCATTATATAAAGTGTCCACTTTATACTACATAATCTATGTATCTATTTTAAATATATAATAAATCACGTTTCATATAATGAATCATTGTGGTAAACCGTTACACCATCAAAATCGTATTTATAAAACCTAAAACGAGATACGAACTTATTTTAACTATTACTATGTTTATATAAGTTTTCTCAATATTTATACATTAAAAGAATAAGCATGCAAATTCCTATAGAGTAGGTATAAAAAAAAATTTTCACTTAATTAACTAGATTTAACTGAAGACCAGGCTGTATGGTTCAATTTCTTTGCCTTTGCCAATTTTTAAAAAAATAATACTATTACTACTAGATTTAATGACATCAAATTTGGCGGGAACATCAATTACCACAGGCTATAATATTTTTTTTTTTAGTCCGCTACATTCTGAAGACGGACGACGACATGTACATAAATGTGCCAAACTTGGTACTGAATTTAAAGAATCGGTCCAAGGAGTATGATGAGAAGGTGTCCAAAGGGTATAAGGAGAAGGAGCATCTGCTAATTGGGGATCTCATATGTGGTGCTAGACCTGTACTGGACTCTAATAATAAGTGGTAAGTTTCGGCATTTTTTACTTTTTAAGGGCATGGGTGTGCATACGTGTTGTGAGTGTGCGTGAGTGTGTGCGTGTACGTGCGAGTGTGCGTGTGCGTGCGAGTGCGTGCGTGCGTGCGTGCGTGTGTGTGCGTGTGCGCGTGTGGTTCTTGTTTAAAACGTCTTAAAATTATTGTCGCTTATTCAAATAGACTTGTATACAAGCTCTTTTAAATCTTCATTTTTTTCTGTTCATTGTGAAATTAGGTTTACGGGAAAGAAAATTATTTTAACTCTCACCATTGATGTACCGGTGTTTTGTTGCGTTCGAATCGGTAACCGACGGTACGTCGAGTGTGTGTCTAGCCTTTAATTGTCCCCCGGCAGGTACAGCCCCCGGTACATGTACGGCGGCCGCGTGTACCCGCGCTACCTGTCCGGCACCGGCTACGTATTCTCGGCCGACGCCGCGCCGCCGCTCTACGAGGCCGCGCTCCGGACCAACTATTTCCATTTGGAGGATATTTATATTACCGGTAAGTGTACCGTGACCCTTATATGTAGTTCTAGTTTACATTATCGATTTCTGCCGGTCATGCCTACATGATCGAGCAAGAATAATGGAGATGTCGGTAGGGGCCGCTCTAGACGGACGTATGTCGACCAAATAGGCGACGTGCTGAAGAAGGGCCAGATTAAAAGTACCCGTAACCGGCGAGCGTGTATGAAAAGATTGATGAATGTGAAAGAAGCGAGAGAGGTTTGTTTGAATCGAAGCATTTGGTGTTACATTGTTTCTGCCTACTCTAATGGGAGACAAGCGTGACAGATATGTTACATTATCGATTTTTCTCGAATAGGTTTCTTGTGCGAATAAGCCAAGAATCGATCCTTGAGGTGCACTTAATAATGTCCTCAAGGGGTGGCTGTTAGGGTGCCGCGGATGGCCAGTTTTAGCCTTTCCTGCACCGGGAGTTGGTAAGAGAACCAGCTTGACGCATCAGGGATGCGGTGCGTGACTTTTCTATTTCGAACACTTGGTGCTCGGGTCCGGGCGGCTGTCGCTTCGGTCGATGTGGTGCAGACGTCCGCACCGCTAATCTATGTGTATTGTACAAAAGTCGAATTGCTTGGGTACCTCTGTCGCATTCGTGTTTCAACCGTGAAGCAGTTGTGTTTGCATGGCTGTGTTTCGGTTTGAAGGGTGGGATATGGCGTGAGTTTACTGGGTACGGAGGGATGACAGCCGAGTCGTAGGGTGTGACGGGTGGAGCAGTGTACCGTGACGTGGCCCCGCCGGCGGTGGCATGTGCAGGCATGTGCGCACTGCGCGCGCGGCCGCGGCTGGTGGCGCGCGACGACGCCGGGTTCTCGTACGCGGCGGCGCGCGGCGCGGCGTGCGCGGGCTGCGCGGGCTGCGCGCCGCAGCTGCGCCACACCGTGCACCGCGTGCCGCCCGCCGCGCTGCGCGCGCTGCAGCGCCAGCTGCTGTCGCCGCGCCTCGCCGACAGGTACCGCCCGCATTCAAAGTAGCCGCTACTTTTAACTCGTTATCGTTAATGTAGTTATTTTTTTATTAACGCTGTGATTTTAAACTAGTGATTTTTGTTAACACTGTGATTTTAACATGTGATTTTTGTTAACATTGTGATTTTACACAGTAGTGATTATTTTCTAATAATGCTGTTATTTTACACTTAATTATTTTTTTTATAACGGTGATTGTATACAAGTCTACTTATTTTTTTATCAGCGTACCAATTTCACCTGTGTAAAATGGTTGCGTTAATAGAAAAGAAAAACTTCTTACTTCCCGTTTTAACATTAGTAGTCTAATTTACTCGAAGAAATATAATCATGTTGAATGTTCACCATAACGGCAGCAGTCGACAAATGCCCCTGACTACCCCATCAGAGATTGCAATCGTGAATTTTATTAATTACAAAATTCTGTCTTACAGATGCGAAAGAATCCGCCTCACACAGGTAAGAAGAGATCGCTTAAGGCCGAAAGTGCCACCAAAAAAACACAACAGAATCGGCCATATATCAAAATAACTGTTGTATATATATTATATTGCTATATTGTAATATAGTATTGTTATTATTTATTATAAGTATAACTAATGACAAATTGAACTTTATGTCTAGCAGGGAAAGGGTGTAATTCGCTTGATGCGGGTTTGGGAATGCGTAACTGTATGTACAATGTTGCTATTGGACGGCTAAATGGTTTATAACATTAACAAATATAGTATTATATATAGTTTAATATGATATATACAGGGTGTTATTAAATTCATTAGCATCTTTTTAACGAAGTATTATGACAGTGAATATAATTTACCCAAAAAAAAAAAATTGAAGTACTTCTTTGGAAAATATGTTCAGTTCCACTTGTAGAACTCTCCTTTAAAAGTATTGTAACGATTACACCCTGTATATATATATATATATATATATATATATATATATATATATATATATATATATATATATATATATATATATATATATATATATATATATATATATATATATATATATATATATATATATATATATATATATATATTGGTACTGTCATAAGCCATAAATTGATGATGTTGCTTAAAATAATCTAGCGGTGCTGATAAGGAACGGATTAAAAATTGTGTGATATTTATTTCAAATTTGAGTGATATTTAGATAAGAGTAAATTATGAAGGGTTGCAAAAATAACTATAACGGGTTAGTTAAAATAACGGTTTATAATTTAGTTGTGATATAACGGTTATTTTTTATTGTTATTTTCTTAATTAAAAAGTGTTAGTGTATATGATTTTGCATCCGTTTTCATCATAGACGTGAATGATAATAAATAGATGTAGCAGCTATGAATAGATACCAAGATCAAATGTGAATTAAGTTGTGAAAAATTACAAAAATAACAGTTAGTAACAGTTAATTTAGTAGCTAATTTAACGGCTTGTAATCGATATATTTTTTGTCCTACGACGTTTTTGCGTGCAGTTTCATCGCAGATGTGAATTTATGTTCATGTAATTTAGTTAATAGACGTCAAAACTAGGGACGAACATCAAAATCTGTTAAGCAATTAAAAAACAAATAAATTCTAATATATTACTGTGAATGATAAGAATAAATTGTGAAGGCTTACAAAAATAACTGTCGGAGCAGTTAAAATAACGTGTTACAATTTAAATAGTTATTTATCTTACTATGTTTTTGCGAGCGCTTTTTCACAGGTACAAGTTTAGATAGATGTAGCAACTAGCTTTTATTTCAGGGTTGAGTAGTGATGGGCAAAATGTAGCAATATCTATATATTTCAGTTGCAATATCTATTTACTGGTTCAATAACGAATATGTTAAACGTCTGTAATCCAAAACATAATATTGGATAACAGACGTTTAATATATTCGAAAATAGATATCCGACCGATATGGGCGATATCGAAATGGGCGATGACGTTTTTCCCCGTCATCAATGTGTAGAGGAACCCAATATATAGATATCGTATCGGTATCCATATTACATATTACCTATGCCGAAGTTTGAGTGCCATATAAGAATAAATTGTTAAAAATAACTATTCGGAACGGACGATATAACGATTCATAGTTAATTATGAAGAACTGCATAAATAACTGTTTGCAATTAATATAACTGTTTATAAATTTATAAATATCCCGTACTGTGTGGTCCCTGTCAAAAAAGGGCACTCCTTTTCCCGCGGGTGTTGTAAGAGGCGATTAATAGACGGCGAGGGATGGGCAGTAGCGTTCCTTTTTAAACATCTCCAAAGTCAAACTGCGATTCCAATCCGCCTGCCAAGCATCGCAACCAATATTTAATAACATCATCATATATATATATATATATATATATATATATATATATATATATATATATATATATATATATATATATATATATATATATATACAACTCAGAATGGCAAACAAGCTAACAGCTCACCTGATGGAAAGTGGTAACCGTCGCCTATAGACATGAGCAGTACCATGGACATAACAGAGTATACTGTTTCATCCATGATACCCCCCATGCGTTGCCATTCCTGAGGACTCAGGTGTTATTCCTCTGTACCCTGTAAATTTATCAGAACTTTGTATTGTTTTTATTTTGGATTGCCACCTTCTAATATTCTCCCACTTGTTCAGTAATAACTGTATATACTGGTAACCCTATTTACGCACACGTGGATAAACAATATGACCTGTTTTTGAGGAAGCATTTGTATGGAGGTACTTTTTTTTTATATGGATGAAAATGGTATGGTAACCCCGCCTGCGCTAACGGGATACGCTGGCAGAGCACCAGTGAAGGGTGATAGATGAGAATGAAAACAGGCCAGTTAGCACATCATGATGAATTCATCAGGAATTAACCATGATAGTTTTCAGGGAGAACCGCGAAGAAGTCGGCCTGGTTGGGTATATTGCTAGCAATGGAATTCTCAATCTCCATTACTAACAATCCCTTTCCCCCCTGTATGGAGATACTCCGACTCTATCTATGTAATCTAACGATATTTGCAATCAATAAGTGGCTTTTGTAACGTTACAGGTATTAGTTTAGTGGCGGCTTACTATTTTAAATGGATTGAGGTACTTGCTTCATCTATCTCTTTCTAAGTCTTTATATTTTAAATGTATTATTTTATTTTATATTAATTTTTTCAATCTTAATTTTTTATTAAATTTCAATTAATCATATTTTAAATTATTAAAGGCATATTTTAAATTATTAAAGGAGCTTAAATTTAAAAAAAAGAGCATATTATTTTTTTTTATTTTTTTTTATTTTAATATTTATTTTATTACAATTATTTTTTTTTTTTGTATTAATATTTCTTGTCATAATAAAAATTTTAAAGAGAGTTAATTGATGATGACGATAATAAAAAGTATATATCTAAAGTGACTGTGTACAAATTAATTTGCAGTATTTTTTTTACTTTTAAATTATATAATATATATATATATATATATATATATATATATAAATCTTGGGTTATATAAAATATTGGTCATTTTACTTATTGCGTCCGTAGAGAGTTCATAAAAAAAGTATGGCAGCTACGTAATTATCTGTTAAATTAAAAAAAAAAATATTGGTCATTTTACATTATTTCTGATTGATTAATACTCGTAGATAAGCAATAGGACTTACGGTCGAGCTCTCCCATAAGGGATGTTTTGCCAGCAGTTGCCACGCTTAGCGGGCGGATTGGCAACCACGGTTAGGCTTTAGAGGTGTTTTAAGAGGGACGCTGCTGCCCATCCCTCGCCTAAGTCGCGTCTTACGACACCATGAGGAAAGGAAGGGGTGGCCTATTCTCTTCCGGGAGCACATTACCCCTGACATTGGCCCTGACATATAAGAATTCCGAGATAGTAGAGTCGGCACGTATCCGCCATTTTGTATCTTTTAGATTAATTTTCCTTCAAAAAACTGAAACATCGTGAATTTATCATCAGATTCAACAAATAATGAGGGGGGGGGGGGGAAATAATTCAGTAAATTATTGCCAACCATCATTAATTTTAAACTGGTTCTATCTATTCACATACAGCAATAACAAAATTTAAAACGCAGTTCTTTTTTTATTAAACCACATCGTAGGAAATGTCTGACTCAAGTAATTACAATTCGAACAGATTCGGACATTTTTTTTAAGAAATATAATCTAAATATGAATTTAGATTATATTTCTTAATAAAAAATTTATTTTTTTAATTTTTCATACTAATTTTATTTATGGGGGGGGGATATATTAAAAAATATCATTGAATTCTGTTCTCCATCATTTTAAATACATTAAATTTATGTTCTTTGCATAACCCGCCGAGTTCAGTAGGCCTCTCGCACCGAGGGCGTTATATTGTATCAACAGACTTGTACAATAGGTTATATGAAGCGATCTCTAAAAAAACACATTGCACGAATTAAAATTGGGTATGGGATTTATAACCCGCAAGCCCCCTCAGGCATTTAGCGAATAAATCTACCTTGAATACGGCTATATCTTTTTATTTGGCCAATTATAAGCAGAGCGAGTTAAAGTAATCCCAGTATAAAAAAAGTGAACGTACGTAGGACGTAGGATGTAACGAATCATGTAACGGTCGAGCCTCTGTCAATTTTTTTTTTATTTTTTTTTAATTATTTAATATTTATATGAGCAATTTATTACATTGGTGATCGAAAAAAGCTGCAAATTTATGTACCTACTAATGTTTCAAATTTGTTTTTTTTTGTAATGTAGGGTTGTCTTTTTTTTTTCCCGTGTTAATATTTCTTGTCAACTTTACTGTTTGCAGTTTGAGTTATATTTAAAGTTTTGGAAAGGTACAATTTTAAAAATACGTTTTAGCTGTATGTCTGAAAATGATCTGGAACAATTAGCTACGTTCATGGGACATACTAATGTTTTCATCTTCTAATACTTATGGAAGATTTTATAAAATGAAATAGATTTAGATCTAAATGAAGAATGGTTTAGATGAAATAGATTTAGATCTATGAAGAACAAAGAAAGTTTTTTATACAAAATAAAAAACCTCCCAGAAAATTAGAAAATTAGAATGCGAAAATTTAAAAGGACAATACCCAGAACTGTTACAAAATAAAGACTGGCTCAAAATTAAAGTTTTTATTCAAAATATTTATTCTAAAAAATAGGATAATATCATTACATTGGCATTTGCTCTTTAATTTGTTTTTTTTTTTATATAAATATATAAAAAGGTTTGTAATTTGGAACAATTAATATTCACAATAATTGATGATGACGATATATAATTGTATATATCTATAAATATATTTAAAATCTTTATTATTTTTAGAAATCGTTTCAAAAAATACCTTTTGTGACTGTGTACAAATTAATTTGTTTAGGCGCATCGAGAGTATGAATCTCATTTTTTGAATTTTTTTACTACACTCTGTAAATGTATATAATATATATATATATATATATATATATATATATATATATATATATATATATATATATATATATATATATATATATATATATCTGCGAGACGAATGGACGCATGAAGTTTGCATGACATACAAACTATATACGGAATATGTGTTATCGTTTATAAATCTGTTTGTCCTCTGTCCATTTGTTTGTTTAAATATATATATATATATATATATATATATATATATATATATATATGTTGTGTTATCGTTTATATCTGTTTGTCCTCTGTTTTTTTTTTTCTTTATTTTTTTTTTTTTTCTTTATTTTTTCCATCTTTTTTTATTTTATTTTCTTTTGCCCCTTTCCAGATAAAATCTCAACAGGACCGGTCGTTTTTACTATGCAGGTATCTACAAATGTTGATTTCCAACAAGTGTTGAAAATATCTTAAGTTTATTTATTTATTTTTTTTTTATTATGGTCAGCTGAGTTGCCAGCTGTCTTGCAGTCGGATTTATAAGTGGGAACATTTGTCGTGTACAGGTCATATTTATGGGTTTTCTACCATTGATAAAGCTATTATGCTAGGAGTTGGTAATATATAGAAATATACATATATTGGTCCAATAACGTTTATACTATAAACGTTATTGGGTATAGAGATTATCCAATATACCTACAATATCTATACGCTATATACAAATATCTGACTGACGTGTCGATATCGAAATGGGCGATTACCTTTATCCCACTTTGATATTAGAACCCAATATATAGATATCAGAACGGTACTGATATTATCCACGACTATATTATACTGCGAAACTGATGAATGGCTCAATTTCCATAATGATATTTAAATACCGTAGCGTCTTAGTTGGACCATCGTATTTTCTCATTCTTGAATGTTGTTGAATGAATTCACTCAATCAATTTAGTATTTTATTTATTTATTTCTAATACATATTTTGAATTTGCCAATGCACTCACCAAAAACCAAAAATAGAACATATACATACATAATATAAATAATCAAGGTTGGACAATATATAGCAATATCTATATATTTCAGTTACAATATCCAATATCTATATATTTCAGTTACAATATCCAATATCTATATATTTTAGTTACTACATCCAATACCTATATATTTCAGTTACAATATCTATATATTTCCCTTCCAATATCTATATATTTTAGTTACAATATCCAATACCTATATATTTCAGTTACAATATCTATATATTTCCCTTCCAATATCTATATATTTCAGTTACATTATCCAATATCTATATATTTTAGTTACAATATCCAATACCTATATATTTCAGTTACAATATCTATATATTTCCCTTCCAATATCTATATATTTCAGTTACATTATCCAATATCTATATATTTTAGTTACAATATCCAATACCTATATATTTCAGTTACAATATCCAATATCTATATATTTCAGTTACAATATCTATGTATTTTAGTTACTATATTTCAGTTACAGTATCTAAATACTAGTTCAATAACGAATATGTTAAAAGTCTGTTATCCAAAAAATAATATTGGATAACAGACTTTTAACATATTCGAAAATAGATATCCGAACGATATCGAAATGGGCGATGACCTTTTTCCCGCCATCAATGTGTAGAGAAACCCAATATATAGATATCGGATCGGTATACATATTACTCATGCTAAAATTAATATATTAATGAAAAAAATAATAATTAATTTTAAATTAAACATTAAAAAAATGCAATTCTACGTAATTCGTTGCCGTCCTGCTAAACTCTGTAACAGTGAAACAAATCCAGTTGTCAATAATCTGAATCGATTTCTTATCAAATATTTAATTATAAATATATATATATATATATATATATATATATATATATATATATATATATATATATATATATATATATATATATATATATATATATATATATATATATATATATATATATATATATATATATATATATATATATATATATATATATATATATATATATATATATATATATATATATACTAGCGACCCGCCCCGGCTTCGCACGGGTACACATTACATCACATCACATTAGAAACCTCTAAATATATCAGTGTTTCTCTACAATATTGTGCATGTATTATACATATAAACTTTCCTCTTGAATCACTCAAAATCTGTTGCGTAGTTTTAAAGATATAAGCATACATAGGAACGGACAGACAGCGACAGCGACTTTGTTTTATACTATGTAGTGATTCAATACAGTTTATGTAATAAAATTTAGTACAATGCGAACATTTTTATCTAGCATTTGACAAGTCGATGAGCAAAATACTTGAATATAATTTCTGAATGCAAAGTTAATCAAACTTGACGATTTTTAATATTTGAATGATTTTTACAAGTGTACAGTCACTTTTTTTTTTATAACACAAGGGAGCAAACGAGCATGCGGCTCACCTGATGGTAAATGACTACCGCCGCTCATTTACTAACTTATATTAAGTTAGTAAATGATCGGTCGTAACGCTAAGTTAAGTTTTATAAGTAACAAAATGGACCTTATGTTGTCTGTATAAATAAGTATTTTGATTAATCTATAATATGACCTAACCGATTTCGCAGTATCAAGGCGTTATCAATGGTATGAAATCTTGTTTTAAATTGTAATAACAATTTATTAGCTCGTGTGAGAAGTATTATCACTTATAAATTTGACTTCGAAATAGAAATGGGTAGTATATTGCAATATATCGTTGTGCAATATCTATATATCAAATACATATATCGATATCTAATACATTAAATACCGGTTATTCAGTGTATAATATTGTATTTAATAACGTGATTGAATAAAATATAGATATCTGATATCAATGATGATGATGATGACGGTGGAAAAAAGGGCGATAACCTTTTTGTTTCATAAGAACCCAATATATAGATATTGATATGATACCGATATTACTCATTACCATCATACAGCCGTTAACTGTCCACTGCTGAACACAGCCCTCCCCCATAAGAAGGGGGGTTTTGTCAGCAGTTGCCACGCTTGCAGTCTATTACCCATGTCTATTTCGAAATACCCAACTATCTATTTGCCATTGAACTTGTAAGGTTTCGTCCGAAGACGAAGCAGCTCAATTTGATCTCCATAATCTCTTAATATATAAATTTATTCAGTCTTCGTCTATTTATATTGCGTCAGTGGCTTACATTCGTGCGTTATTATTTATTTTTTTTTATTATAATTCATTTATTATTCTTTAACTCTGCCCAAGTATATTTTTAATAAACAAAACATTATTAAGACGGAGACTTTGTGCTAAAGTCGATTGCTTGGGTACCTCTGTCCCATTCGTGTTTCAACCGTGAAGCAGTTGTGCTTGCATGGCTGTGTTTCGGTTTGAAGGGTGGGATTAGTTGGCAGTGAATTTACAGGGTACAGAGGAATAACACCTGAGTCCTCAGGTATGGCAACGCATGGGGGGTATCATGGGCGAAACAATATACTCTGTTATGTCCATGGTACTGCTCATGTCTATAGGCGACGATTACCACTTTCCATCAGGTGGGTGGTGGTGGTATAGACACAGGTTGATCTTATTTAAAAAAAAAATATTTTTTTTTTTTTTGGTAATATTAAAAGTTTTTTATGAAAAAAAAAACTTTTTTAGACCTTATTTATGAATTCTAATACTGGTTTTAAAGAATTGATTACATTAATTAACATACTGTACAATATTTTTTTTTTTATTTCCAAAAACGTAATGAGCTACAGTTTGTTTTTTATGCAACGTAGAATGACAAACAAGCTGACGGCCTACCTGATGGAAAGTGGTAACCGTCGCTTATAGACATGAGCAGTACCATAGACATAACAGTACATACACATACTGTTTCGCCCATGATACCCCCCATGCGTTGCCATTCCTGAGGACTCAGGTGTTATTTCACTGTACCATGTAAATTCACGCCATATCCCACCCTTCAAACCGAAACACAGCTATGCAAATACAACTGCTTCACGGTAGGAACACGAATGGGACAGAGGTACCCAAGCATTCGACTTTTGTATAAAGTTTCCCTCTGGTTGATGTTTTAAGAGGGACGCTGTCGCTCATCCCTCGCCCTCCTTTACACATATATCTATTATTAAGTAATGCCATTGAAACAGATTGTCTTTTTTTTTTCGAAAAAATGAATTTATTTTTTATAATTTTTTTTGTAGATTTTTTTGAGACTTAAAAAATATTAACACCGGTTTTAAGGAATGGATTACGTCAATTAACTTATTGTATATTTTTTTTTGTTTCAAATTCTTGTTTACTATATTTTTTTTTATTTATATAAACATATTTAGCTTATTCCTGTATATCAATGGTATAATAATAAATAATATAGTACAATAAATAAAATAAAATAATAGCATTCCAAAATTCGTTTGTAAATCAAAAAATGAATTTAAATAACAAATACAAATAGAATTCAGAGTAATAACAACTCAATTATTAAAAAAAATGTATAAAAATTTCAACACTTTCAACCGATTTCAAAAAAGTCAGTTCTCAATTCGGTTGTGTTTTTTTTTCACGTTTATTACCTCATAACCCCATCAGTTGTAAATCGATTTGGTAATTTTAATAAGTCCTTAATATTATCGTTAATTTACAATAAAAAAAAAATCAGTGGAAACAGAATAAATAATAATATGTTTATATTATATGAATATATCAAGTATTTATATATTTCCTCTATTCAATAATGCGCCGCCTACTTATTTCTCTGTTCGCCCAATGCTCGACTGGTAGAGAACACCGGCCGGTGTTAAGTCCGCCATATGTACATAGAATTACACTGTGCATTAAAGTTTAAATAAATAAATAATAAATATTATATTAATTATAAATCATTTACTTATAATGTTATAATTTTCTAATTTTCTTCTCAACAAAACAAATGTCGAATTAAGAGGAGTCTATGTATGAATGAATGAATGAATTGTATTGCCAAAAATGTGCTACAACAAGGTCATATGGTATTACAATGGATTTATAAATTTCTTGTAAATACAATGGATAAGTTGTAGTGTGAAGTGATGTGTATTTCTGTAATTTGTGGTGAAGTGACTGCGAATGCATTTAAAAATATGGCATCTTGGCACACAAGGACAAGTTTCCAGAGCCGTAAAACGTCTTATTAAAAAAAAAAACATTTTGACGTTACTGACGTGCAACAGTCATAACAAAAATGACATAATAATTCTTTAACATGTAATAATATAATGAAATAACATGTTAAATTTTTAAACGTTATTTGTAATACAAAAAAAAGTCAATCTTTTACAATGTGTCACTATGTTATACATACATATCTGTCACGTCTGTCTCCCATTACGGTAGGCAGCAACAATGGAACACCAAATGCTTCGATACAAACAGACCTCTTTCGCTTCCTCCACATTCATCAATCTCTTCATACACGCTCGCCTGTTACGGGTACTTTAAATTTGGCCCTATTTTATATTTTGTAAATATTCCTGGACACTATAGTAACACTTATTTGCTAGCCTATTATGCAGTTTTTTTTTATTTATTACAGTTTAAATTGATTTATGGCATGTATTTTTTAATAACTATTTAATTGGTATTAAAAATATAACTTTGTAATGTGTGATCACAATTTTCACGTTAAGGGGGTGAGGTACGTGTCAGAGGGTTGACATAACAATCTCTTCCCCCCCCCCCGTAATTAGGTAGTTTTTTTTAATAGATAATGGAATGGTAACCCCGCCTGCGCTATCGGTATACGCTGGCACGGCACAAGTGAGGGATGATAGGTGAGAATGAAAGCAGGCCAGTTGGCCCATCGTGGTGAATACACTTGGAATTCAGCATGATGCTTTCCAGTGGGGATCACGTGGAGATCGACCTGACAGGGTATATTGCTAGCAATGGGACTGGTAGTCCGCGTTACTAACGATCCCTTTCCCCACAATATAATAAATATTAGGTAAATTAATGGTTTTCCTTTGTATGAAACTCATTTCTATTGGGCGTATGTCTTTATATCATATCTTTCTATAGTACATGCTCAAAACCTTGGACAGTTTATTCAAAATTAAATAAATTAACATTTTAATTTAATTACCAGTTTACGTATAGCTCACGATTAAGGGTCCCGATTGGTCACGAAACTAGTCTAGCTGTCTCGACCTAATTACACATATGTACGTTTACCTTACGATTAAGGGTCCCGAATGATCACGAAACTAGCTGTAGCTGTCTCGATCTAATTGTACGTAACGGTAGTTGTTACATTAAAATAAAAAAATGTGTAATTACGAAAATTTTAACACTAAAACCAATATTTCAAACTTTCAAATTGTGTAATATATATATATATATATATATATATATATATATATATATATATATATATATATATATATATATATATATATATATATATATATATATTATGGGTGAAAATGGTATGGTAACCCCGCCTGCGCTAACGGGATACGCTGGCGGAGCACCAGTGAAGGGTGATAGATGAGAATGAAAACAGGCCAGTTAGCACATCATGATGAATTCATCAGGAATTAACCATGATAGTTTCCAGGGGGAACTGCGAGGTCGACCTGGTTGGGTATATTGCTAGCAATAGCATTCTCAGTCTCCATTACTAACAATCCCTTTCCCCCCTGTAATATATATTTGATATAATTATTGTTGTTTTCTCAAAAAGAATCATTATTTTACACAATTTTTTTTATAAAAAAAAACAATGCGAAAAATGTATACTATAAAACTGTTGGAGATTTTATTTTGAGATTTTATTATTAT